CCATGATTCTCCCACGCCAGACAGATGCAGGTTAAGATCCTCCCTGGTAAGCCACTTCATGGGCTACACAGAATATTAGAAATGGGTTAGATTAATATGTAAGAGCTAGCCAATAAGAAACTGGAACTAGCCGGGCCAGGCAGTGTTTAAAAAAATACAGTTTCCGTATAATTATTTCGGGGCATAACCTAGCCATGCGGGCGGCCGGGTGCTGGGGACGCAGCCCTGCCGCTCCTAATGCAACATAGTTCATTGTCAGCATTGAAGCGAAGCATGGTGGCATGCAAGCAGACATGGTACTGGAGAGGGAACCCAGAGTTCTACATCTGGATCAGCAGGTAGGAGGAAGAGAATGTGACTTGAGCTTTGAAACCTCAAAGCCCACCCCCAGGGACACACATGCTCTAACAAGGCCACACCTTCCAATAAACCCATGGGGGAGGGCATTTTCATTCAAACCACAGAGCACCTTTCTTTAAACACAGTGATGGCTCTCCAAGCAGGATGCTGTCCATTAGTCTTAGAACTCCTAAATATAACTATACAACTCTTTACTGGTCAATTGAGTTCTGTGTACAAGGCACTGATCATACAATACAATCTATCATTATTTTATACTATTCCAAAATCAGTTCTAAGGGAAAAGAGCCTTCTTGATAAGCCTACTAAGTAAGTATGTTTTCCTTCAGTTCCATATTCCTACTGCAACCTAGTAAGGATGAATATATATTTATAATTGCCAAGCACGATATCTATATCTATATTTATATCTATGGTTAACTGCCTGCTTGTGCAAACCTACAAACACACACACACACACACACACACACACACACACACACACACACACACACACACACACGGTGCCCAGCAGTTAGAATGCCCACACAAGATCTGTCTTTTGAATATGCTTGGTTTATTCACACAATCACTCCTTATAATACCATGCTAGTAAAATAGTTAAATGTAGTTAAACAGACATCTCACCAAGAAGGGAACAGTTAGTTGGGCAGAAAACAATACTGCAGGGATCTTCTCAGGTAAGGATGTTTCAGAAGCTTGGCAGGCTCAACCCATGTCCACTGTGAAGTCTTTCGACTGTGTCGGGCTGGGAGGATGGCGCTAGTAGCTGTCCAGGAGGTCTCTGAGAATATCAGCCAAAGGCTAATGCTGACAAGTCGGCACGTGTGAGTTCAGCAATGGCGCTAAAAGTGCAAGGGTCACCAAAGTCAGGGCCACACAGAGGCCAGTCTCAAAGCCTCCTTGCCAGTGGACTGGGAAACCACGTTTGGGAAATATGGCAATTTGGTCCAGTTTTTCTAGTATTTCAATTGGCTGTGGCTGTACTAACAAATCAACACCACCTAGGGGTTAGTTCATTAGCATATCAAGACTTGTTTTGGGATTTAGATAGTATCTGATAGTATCTAATGGACCTGGTGGCAGGTCCATTAACAGGACAGAGCTTGCCAGGGACAGGACTGGGGGCAGGGTGCTTATCTCCAAGTCTGTCTGAGCTGGTTGGCTTTAAGCACCAATCTTACAGGCTTTACATTATTCTAAATCACACAAAAATGGTTTTCACTAATGTTCCTATCAATTCTGTTCTACTTTTAAAAACTTACCACTTCTGTCTTCCATGGAATTGAGCTCAATTTATGTAGTTTAAACTTAAATCTGTGCTTCCCTAACGAGCATAAAGACCTTGACGATTCTTGAAACTCCAATAATGCTATCACTCAAATCTGTTAGGCAAGTCTTCCGTCTCTAGGCTGTTTGGCCTCTGAGTCCAACTCCTGAGCCAGTGTTCTTGAAGAGGAGAGAGCAGTTTTTGATCTTTAAATTTTCAGTACACTCTTGAGGTATGAATAAATCTGCCCTGTACCATTAGAAAATTATATTGTAACATGCCATTAGGGAAGGAGAGCTACCTCTTTCTTTCACAATCTTCTAGGCTATAACCGTGACCACTTTGGCCCTAAAAGAATCAGTTTGCTTTCTTTTTCACTAAACTTCTAGTAAAGACTACTGAATTGCAATGACCCCTTTCAGGCTACTGAGACATCCAAACTAATCTAAGAGGAGCCTTAGAACAAAAGAGAGCAAAAGTTCCAGGCACAAGGGGCTCTCCTCTTTCCCTGACATGAGTAAAGTCTAGAAGAAACTCAATTCTGATCCCTTCCTACTCCTCAGGAACACAAAAGTTCTCATGTTCTTATTGCTGGTTTGGCTAAGTGGTCAGCTTCCACACTGAACCCATCCAGGTCCCACCAGCATTTACATGGTTAGCATAAACCCAGCTCTCTTAGTTACCATTGCATTGTTGTCAAGAGATACCATCCAAGGCAACTTATAGAGGAGAGCATTTAACTGGGTGCTTGCTTACAGTGTCCAAGGGTTAGTCCATTATCATAGGAGTGAGAAGTGTGGTGGCAGGCAGCAGGCAGCAGGCAGCAGGCAGCAGGCAGCAGGCAGCAGGCAGCAGGCAGCAGGCAGCAGGCAGCAGGCAGCAGGCAGCAGGCAGCAGGCAGCAGGCAGCAGGCAGCAGGCAGCAGGCAGCAGGCAGCAGGCAGCAGGCAGCAGGCAGCAGGCATGGTGCTAGAGAGGTGACAGTTACATTGTGATCCTCAGGCTGCAGACAGGGAAAGGGAGAGACTGGGCATGGCATGGGCTTTTGAAACTTAAAACCCTATGCCCAGTGATGGGACTGTTCCAAACAATGTCACACCTTTTAACCATTCTCAAATAGTTCCTGATGAGTACGCATATAATATTCTATGGGGCCATTCTCATTAAAACCACCATACCAGTTATGGGCAAAACTCATTGGCGGTAGATGAAAAAATAGTGACTCCAGTTGTGAGGAAGGAAGGCACCAGGTGAGAGTTTCAGTGAGAGAAATGTTAGGCATCTTGATGTGTGGATCATGGTTACATGAATACACACATGAAAGATTAAGCAATAAGCGTAATACTTAGTAAGCAAATTTATAAACTTAGACAAGATTAAGAGAAAATAGAATAAAAATAGAAAGCATAACTTTTTCCACTGCTGAGGAAAAATAAAGACAAATCAGCCTATAAGAAAAGTAAGAGAAAAGGAGGAAAAAAAAGATAATTATGGTTAGTACAAAGCACATTACAACTGGCAAGAAGAAATGTAAAACCCACTTTACTGTATACATGAGACCAAACAGACTAAGGTGAACAAACAAACAAACAAACCCAGCAGAATGTGTCAAAACAAGAAACGGGGTAAATCCAAACCATGAGTCCCTCTCACTGGTACTTCAGCTATCAACACTTCCTTCCCCTCCCGGCAAACGCAAAAATGAAGAGAAAAAAAAAAATGAAGCGAGCCCTCTCATATTATTACTAAACTTTTTATACAAATTTCGTTCTAAATCTTCTAAACGACTACGAATTTCATCTTCCAGGGTTTTTTATTTGTTTGCTTGCTTTTGAAAACCATTTTGGTAACTAGGTTTGGAATGCCTTCGAATTCTTCTCACTAAGAGCAGTGGAACTTCATTTCCCTCCTCTAACGGCTTCTCGGTCCGCCGCGGTTCAGGGACTGAGCCCCCTCCACGAAGCCAGGGCCAGCGAGAGGCTCCCAACCGGGTTTCCGCCTCCCCGCGACAGCCGCTTGAGGAGCAGAGCAGCCGACCAATCACATCCAGGAGCGCACTTTCCCCGCCCCCCCCGGCTGGGGGCCCGCCCGCCCACCCTCCCGCCTGCGCACTGAGCCACCCGACCGGTAGGAAGCGGCGTCGACCCGTGGGCGAGCCGAGCCAGAGCCTCGCCGCGACTCCAGCGTCTCCCGCGTCCCGCCCTCCAGCTCCACGGCCTCGCCACCGCCGCCATGGTCGAAGCCGACCGTCCGGGGAAGCTCTTCATTGGAGGGCTCAACCTGGAAACCGACGAGAAAGCCCTCGAGGCGGCCTTCGGCAAGTACGGCCGCATCATCGAGGTGCTCCTGATGAAGGACCGGGAAACCTCCAAGTCCAGAGGCTTCGCCTTCGTCACCTTCGAGAACCCCGCGGACGCCAAGGCCGCCGCCCGCGACATGAACGGCAAGTCCCTGGATGGTAAGGCCATCAAGGTGGCCCAGGCCACCAAGCCGGTGTTCGAGAGCGGCCGGCGCGGGCCCCCGCCCCCCCACAGCCGCGGCCGCCCGAGGGGCCTGCGCGGGAGCCGCGGCGGCGGCGGCGGCGGCCCGCGGCGCCCTCCGTCCCGGGGCGGGTCGGCCGACGAAGGCGGCTACGCGGGGGATTTCGACCTGCGCCCCGCGCGGGCCCCGCTGCCGCTGAAGCGCGGGCCGCCGCCGCGCCGGGCCGGGCCCCCGCCCAAGAGAGCCGCGCCGTCGGGCCCGGCGCGCAGCGGCGCGGGCGTCCGCGGCCGGGCCCCGGGCTCGCGGGGCCGAGACGGCTACGGAGGCCCCCCGCGCCGGGAGCTGCCGCCGCCGCGCCGCGACCCGTACCTGGGCCCGCGCGACGACGGCTACTCGCCCCGGGAGAGCTACTCGAGCCGCGACTACGCGCGCGACCCGCGCGACTTCGCGCCCTCGCCGCGCGACTACAGCTACCGCGACTATGGCCACTCGAGCGCGCGCGACGAATGCCCTTCCAGGGGCTACTGCGAGCGCGACGGCTACGGGGGCCGCGAGCGCGACTACGCTGAGCACCCGAGCGGAGGCTCCTACCGAGACCCCTTCGACGGCTACGGGGACCCGCGGGGCGCCGGGCCTGCCCGAGGCCCGCCGCCATCTTACGGCGGAGGCCGCTACGAAGAGTACCGCGGCTGCTCGCCCGACGGCTACGGCGGCCGCGACAGCTACCGCAGCGAGCGCTACTCGAGTGGCCGCGAGCGCGTGGGCAGGCCGGAGCGTGGGCTGCCGCCGTCTGTGGAACGAAGCTGCCCGACCCCGCGCGACTCGTACAGCCGCTCGGGCCGCCGGGCGCCCCCCAGGGGCGGAGGCCGAGTGGGAAGCCGCCTGGAGCGAGGTGGAGGTCGGAGCAGGTACTGAGCCCCCCGGACTGGGACTCGGACTCAGGACTCACGTCCAAGTCAAGAAAAGAAGAATTCGTTTCCTGGTAACTCACCCAAGGACTAGGACTAAGAAGAATCGTTTTCCTTATTTTTACCGTTTTAAGATTTTTTTCCCCCCATGTTAACTACCTCTGCATTTTTATGCTTTTGAGAGGCAAAAAAAAAAAAAAAAAAAAGTTAAAACTCGTTTAATTTCATTTTGGAATTGTTAAACGTTTCAACAAGCTCATGTTAAAAGTCTGACTTGAACCTGAGTAGTAGTCTTCCTTGTCGTTCAAAGTAGTTCTCGTAAAGGCTTCTTCCTTCCAAATTTGCCTGATAAAGGAGGCAAGTGGTTCTAAGGTGTTTTCACAGAAATCTTGGCCACCTAAAGTGGAAAAAGGATCATGCTCCCCTTTCAGACCAAACTGGGATTCGGGGAGAAAGAGTTGGGGGGAAAGTGGTGTTCGCCACTGGATTTCAAAGTGTCTTTCAAACCCCATCTCTGTTCCCAGCACTAAAAGCAAACCAAACTGCGGCAGCCAAGCCACTTAGACCAGATGCTGGGTAAAGAAGGTGCCATTCGCTCAATGCTCAATGAGTTTAAAGCAAATGGATGCTGACCTTTATTTTAATTTTTTTTTGACTATTTTTGCCTTTTCTTTGGGGGTCTGCAGACTCTCCTGTCACCTCACTCCCCAAAATAGCATTTGCATGACTTGAACAGCGATGGAATACTAAATTTAAAATTTGGCAAACCAACCTCAAAGCTGAAAAACAAAACAGCTCAAAATTATCAATTGATAGTGTTTATTTTTACCATTAATTACATACACATTATTAAGAAATAAGTGTGCTAATGGTGGATTTGGGAATCGTGATGATTTCCATTCCTAACTCTGAGGTACTGGTTCAGGTGGAGAAAATTGGGCTTCTTACCCTGGGGTGAAGCCTCTCAGGAAGAGGTCAGAGAATTCCTGAATGATTGCATTTCAACATCTGAGAATCTCAAATGCTTTGAAGGGACAGGGTCAACTGTCTGAAAAAGGCAAAGGGTTTGGTGAGTGTTGCCCACTGAAAAGGGGGGTTTGGGCAGAGAAAGACCAGAGAGGCTTCTTTCAAGATACTTCAGGAGAGACATAAGTCTCCTTTTCACCCTAAACTCAGGTCAAGAAATAACTTGTGGAATTCCCCTGCTTGAGTAAGAAAAAAGGTGTAAAACTTATTTTCAGTGTAATTGCTCAAGGAAACGGACACAAGAACAGCTGCAACAAAAAAATAGAGTTCTGAGTGCAACACACACAACCTTAGAGAATGTTTTTTTTTTGACAATGTAGTAGATGAATTAAAGGATATGCCATATAGTTGCCCAGAAGATGAATTATAGCAAATAGAATTTTTAAATGCAGGAATTATTCTAGCAAAACTAAGATTTTTATGGGGAAATTATTTATTAAAGAACAAAAGAAGAACTAAGCAAATGGAAATTTCATGTTTCCTCATGATTGAGAAGACTTACCATAGCTTCTCAATCGTGCCAAATTAACTTGAAAAAGCAATGCAACTTCAACTGAAGTCACAATGTATTTTTTCATAGCTCCCCTCCCCTCCTTAATAACACCATTGATTGCTGATCAGTTGTGATGCAATATTAATAATTGGCAAGCTAAACCCAAAATAAAACAGTAGCTTTATTTCATCAACAAATTATGAAGGAACTCTAAGATAACGGATGATATAACTAATCTTAAAGTTTACATGGCGGAACAAAGAGCACGAAGAACCAAAACAGTATTGAGGAAAAGTATTAGGAGATATCAAGATTTATTACAAAGCTCTAACAATCTAAACCGTATATTAACAACAGACAAGAATAGACCAGTAGACCAAAACCAGGAGCCTAGAAACAGTTCCACTTACAGATACAAGCATTGTTATATGATAGAAGTAGCTTTAAAAGTCAGTGGTGAAAGGATGGACATTTTAAAAATGACTTGATTTGCAAATGATAAAGTCAGATTCTTTAACTCACACCATACACAGAAATAATGTTCTAGATGGTTTGGAAACAATTCTGAAGAGGAAAACTGAAGGAAAATTAAATGCATTCACCATAGGTGGGTAGAGAATTCTCCTTAAAGACAAAAGTACAAACCTACAAGGAAAATGTTGATACAATTTCCACACTATTATTTGTGATAAAAGGTACTATTAACAGTGAAATATCAAATAAATTGGAAGCATGTTGAAGTAACTTTTAAAAGAATGCTTTGCAAGTCACTTTCTAAAAAATGACAAGAAGTAAGTGAGCAAAAGGACTCTTACTTTTCCTGGTAGGTGTAGAAGTTGATACAGATTCTTTGGAAGTAAATTGACAGTGCCTGGTAAAGCTGAAAGGTGTGTACTTCATGATCCAGAAATGTCAAGAAAAGACCCTAGAAAATGCACAGGTACACAAAGAGTTGCGCACAAAGCTGGCCTTTTAGAGCTCTCTGGTGTGTTTAAAGGGTGTGAACAGCTTAGCAGGAACAGTTCACCCAGCGAATGAAGGTCCACCCAGAAAGCTAAGGTGAATTGACCAGATTCAGTGATCAACGTGGGTAAGTATAAAGTATGTGGTAGAAGGGGGATATTGTATAAATGTAAATTGTATAAATATACAAAATCAAAAAGCATTTTAGGAGCGATAACATAGGATAGGGATATTTAGTTTGAGGAGGAGGAGATGGGAAGAGGAGTAAGTTTTAGGTGTATCTTATGCTCTATGCTTTTTTTTTTTTTTTCTGAATGATAGATTTTACTGGGCATGGTATCCCTTGAGGTGGAGGCAGAGGATTATGAGCTGAGTACACCCTAGTTTTATATGTGAGACCTTTTCTCAAAACTAAATTTTTAAGAATTAAAATATATGGGGAAGTGGAGAGAATATGGAAGAAGTTGCAGGGTGGGGATCATGATCAGAATATAGTGTATGAGAAACTATATATTTCCAATTTAAAAGTAAAAACCTGGGCAGTGGTGGTGCATGCCTTTAATCCTAGCACTTGGTAGACAGGCTGAGGCAAGCAGCTTTCAGTGAGTTTGAGGCCAGCCTGGTCTACAGAGAGTTGCAGGACAGGATAGTGTTATACAGAGAAACCTTGCCTCTAAAAGCCAAGAAAAAAAAAACTAAATTATTTCTATGGTTTATATTTAACACAGTTTCACAGTAAAAATTTTATATAAAAATTAGAGGTTTGCACAGTACATGGTGTATAACCAAACAATAAAATGTCACTCATTTTTACAGCGATGTGCCTTTGTTCTCATGTTAAAGGTGATGCACTTGACTAAGTGTCTAGAAACTTTCCAAACTGACTTAGAGCTAGTTTATGATTATCTCAGCTATAATTTCCATATCTGAATTCCAAATCTTAGGAAGTTGCAGGTGTCCCCCCCCCAGGGCTTAGTTTTATCTTTTGAGATGGTATCTTCCGTCCTACAGTTGCTCAGGCTCTCTAGTAGCTAAGGAGGACCTTGAATTCTTTGTCACTATCTCCTTGGTGCTTACGACTCCTAGGTGCTTAGACTGTAGGCTGACGCCCCAGTCTAGGTCCAGACTTGTTCTGGAAGCAGTGAAAAACTTGTGCAATTAACATCACATACTGAATAGTAATCTTAATGTTGAAAACATTTTAAACTAGCTGGGGCCCTTGTAACATTTCTTTATATGGTTCCCAAACCCACCTTCCTTTTAGCTTCTATTTGAAAAGCAATGTGATTTTCATTTTCTTAATAATATTCCCTTTTCGGGGACAACGACTCTGCTCTCAGTGTTTTCCTCCTTAGGGCAGATGTAGCAGTCATCAAGCAGAGTCAGCCTACATTGCATACACACATTCCCTGTGGAGGTAAAAAAAAGTTTTTAGAATCTGCCTGATGCATATGCAGTGATACTGATTCTAAAGACAATTTCTATCCCAGGATAGCCCTTCTAAGACTTTTTTTTTTTTTTTTTCTGAGACAGGGTTTCTCTGTGTAACAGCCCTGGCTGTCCCAGAACTCAACTTTGTAGACCAGGCTGACCTTGAACTCACAGAGATCAACCTGCCTCTGCCTTCTGAGTGCTGGAACTAAAGGCCTGCACCACCACTGCCTGTCATATTTTTAAAAGACCCAGCAATAAATATGTATAGATAATGTGGAACATCATTATCGAGCATAAAACTTAACTCTAGAGGAGCTGCAGTGCAGCAACGACCCCATGAGCTGAAGAGACCTGTTGGAATGTTTTGGGGGTGGTGCAGGGGAACAGCAATACAGCTTCCCCCTTTTGCCCTTGGAGACAACATTTGATCACAGGTGCCATCCTCAGTCTGGAGTTTTCCCCTACATCAACTTTCAGTATTGGGACCACACTAACATAGCTGTGAGCAACTGGTTAAAACAGTAGAATGAGTTAAATTGTCTTAAAAAGCGGGCCTAACAATTTTCCTATTAAACTTTACAAAAAGTCTTCTAGGAGGCCAGTCTGCCGGGAAGTCATTCTGGAGAAAGTAATCCTTAGCCAGGCAGTCTTAAACAAAATACCAGTTGAGCTTCTGACCTATGGTTTCATGTAGTCCAGGCAGGCCCCAAACTCTGCATTGTATCTAAGAATGATCTTGAGCTCTGGAGCTTTTTGATTCTTCCCTCCAAGTGGTGGGATTACAGGCATGTGCCACCACCCACAGTGCTGGAGATTGAAGGCAGGGCTTTGTGCATGCCGGGCTGGCACGCTACCACTGAGTTAACATTCGCAGCCATAACTTAATCCTTAGATTCAGAAGGGATTTTAGGCTGATTAAATTATACAAATGCATGCAAATTTAATTATGCTACAGTTAACTATGAGGTAGTAGCAGTAAGAGATTGGCACAGGACACCAGAAAATGCAACCTTAAAGAGATAATAACCAAAATATGATCTAAGATGAGTGCCAGGTTGCTATGAGAATAAATTTTAAAGGTAGGACATAGGAAATTTTCTTACTGCTTTTCTTGCGCACTGAATAAGAGTAATTTTGCTTAGAGATGAAGCTAAAGGAAATGCATATAAATCAGTAAAATTAATTAAGGGCATACCTTGAGGTTGATTACCAGAAAAGCAGAAATGAGGAATGCCAAAATATAAATTAAC